AGGGTCGGGCGTGGGGGGGGCGGGGTGCGGGGCGCGGGGTGGGCTGTGGGCATACCTTGATGCGTTTGGTCGGTCGGTCCAGGCTGTCATCGTCCCACTCTGAACACGCAGTCGTGTTGTCGTTGGCGTCGAATCCTCCTTCTGCTACCTTCTGACTCGATCCTTGCTGTAGATTTCTGCGCGAGCAAGAAAAACCGGGAATTCAGACATCGTCATTAAACGACACGGAGGTGTTGCATTCTACATTATAATATAACATTTATAACAGAAGTAATATATATGTGTATATACTACGTATAGAATAATATATATACATATATATAGCTGTATAACTAGCTCTCTGACAATAACAATATTAACAACACGCACGCAGGTGATCATTAATGAACTAACGCAAGTTAATCAAAAACTCTGATTAGTTTAATTACACTCTGCAGGGTGCGCCTAATAATATGGCACGTTTAAAAACATCAGGTACAATATGATCGTAAAAAAAGTTGGTGGCAGTAGAAAAAAACAGTATATACAAATGCAACTCGAGTTGCTATAGTAGCTTTCTACAGTATCATTCCTATGGGTGCGTGCACACTCGTATACGCACTCGCGCAAATACACACACACGCACGCACGCACGCACACGCACTCACGCACGCCTGAACACGGCTTATTTAATAATCTATGAGACAGACTGGACATCTCTGAGACGTTGGCAGTCAATGAAAGCGACATGCTTATTACAAGACAGACAGTAGACCCGCTAGGATAGACTCACCTAGAGAGTATAAACAATGGCTATCGTTTTTTCGACGGCGTGTTTGAAAATTACAATCTTGTTTGAAGGATATGGCAGCGAATGCTGTCACTGGATCAGTGACAGCACAGAAACGATGATGGGAAATAAACACGAAGTGAATCGGAACACGGTGAATTACAACACGAATAATATTGACCGACCCTATGAGAATTGCACCTGTAATTTAATGAAAAAAGGCGCAGAAAAAACGGGTAACATGTAAGGTTTGACGATGTTGCAACACTAGGGATCGTCACTGTTAATCGTTCGCGAGAAAAAAACACACACTTATGTAAAATAATCGCCATTTTTGTTCTAAATTGAGAAGTTTAAAAAATACACTTTCAATGGAATGTTAAAAATAAAAAATTCTCAAAATCGAAACCGCGCAGTACAACTCTGCGATGACGCTGCACGCGGTGGTGGCGACACCTGGCGGTAGCCGTGGTAAACATTCTCCGCGTCTCACGACGACGACAACGCAGGAGAGTGACTTGACAAAGTTGGCGGCCATCTTTAATCCATAAGATCCAACTGCTCCGCTCTATCCTACCACGCTCCACGCCGCTCGGTGCCGCGCCAACGCATAGATGGCGCCACGCTTTGTGAAGTCGCCGCTCGTCTCCCGATGCGACTCGCAAGCCGGCGTCTTTGCAAGATTGTTTCGTGACGTCGCCGTGACAACATTATCGTCGTCATTCGTCTCGCCGCGGCGGTCGGTTGGCGCCGAAGTCTGTCGCGTTCACTTGTTTGACGGGAGACGGCGAGTTTGTCTCGCGACTCGGTTGCTGTAGTCTCGAATCCCGCCACTAGGGGGAGTTTTAGGCACGTTCACTCACATCCGCCGCTGTTAGTCTTTGCACACGTGCACGTATATAATATATTCATATAACATCTCTGACGGTTCGCTTATGTACACGTAGGTGGCGCCGCCTCGCCGTCTCATATGTAGACGCCGTTGTCACTTCGATGCGGCAGCGGCCCCTGCGGCAGTGACGTGGGCGGGCTTGAGATTCCCTCCGACCAATCGGAGTGCGCGGAATGCGGGGAGGACGACGACCATTGGCCGGGCGATTCGGGCGATGGCGTCGGGTATTGCTCGAGGGCCAATAGATGGTGCGGGGTCGTGTACTCGCCTCCGCCACCACCGCCACCGCCGCCGCCGCCGCCCATCTGGCTGTGCTGCGACGGCGGCGTCGGATACTTATCGACCACCGGCCCGATGCGAGCGTAGGTGCCGTAGTGTTGCTGCTGCTGCTGCTGCTGCTGCTGCTGCTGCTGCTGCTGCGAGTCGTGGCTGTTCGTGTACGCTAGGCTGCCCATGTCGGCGTAGTTGGGCGAGTTGGCACTGTAGTTCATGGGGCTGCGAACGTGCTGCTGCTGCGGCTGCTGCTGGTGGTTCTGCTTCGCGTGCTGGTTCTGCATGGCCGTCAGGTGCATCGGCGACGTCGGATACATCTTGCGCGTCGGCGACATGACGACAGCGCTCTGCGACGACACCGGCGGCGGCGGCGCGACGCCCTGGGCGAGGCTCGACGAATCGAGCCACTGCGCCGTCATCGGCTGCGACGCGATTGGCTGCTGCTGCACGATGCCCAGGTCGAGCATCGCGGCGCCGCCTTGCAGCAGCGAGTTGGAGCGATGCATCACGGGGTGGCCCTGCGGCGCCATCTGGTGCTGCTGCTGCTGCTGCTGCTGCATGAGGGTTCGGATACCGTCGTAATCCTTCATGTGCATGCCGGCGGGTTGCTGCGGCTGCTGCTGCTGCAGTGCCTGTATCGTACTGTAGTGCGTGTAGGCCGGCTGCTGCTGCTGCGGTGGCGGCGGCGGTGGGGGAGACAGCGTGTTGGGAGAGAGCGTCGCGGGAGCAAGTGGCGATCCGTAGTGTCCCGGCGACCCGTACTGCGACGCTGACTCGTAGTGGCTAGGGGGGGACAGCGTCGCCGTCGACAGCGAGCCGGGGGAGAGCGTCGTGCTCTGCGAATCCTTCCGCTTCTTCCCCTTCTTCCCCGCGCCGCCGCCGCCGGGTGAGGGCGGCCGCGGAGCCGCCGCGCCAGTGTCGCGCACAGGCGTGTGTCTCCCGCTGTGCTGCCGCTGCACCCTCTTCTTTGCCTTCCCGCTCTTCCCGATCGCAGCGTAGACTCCGTTGGCGGCCATGATGGATGGCGCGGCGGCGGCGGCGGCGACGGCGGCAGACAGCTGGCCGTTGAGCATGGACTGTACGGGCGGGCTGCGCGCGGCGTACTCCTCGAGGAGCTGGACGATGTCGTGGTGCAGACGCTCGTGAGCGACGTCGCGCGGCAGACGATCCATCTGGTCGGTGACCTCCGGGTTCGCGAAGTGATCGAGCATGATCTTCGCCGCCTCGAAGCTGCCCTCGCGCGCAGCGAGAAACAGCGGAGTCTCGTCCTGAAACAACGATAGCGACGAGTTAGTGATGGGTTCATCCAGGGAGAAAATAACTTTTTTTTCCACGGGAGTTCTTTTTCAAGTCTGTGGCCAAAAAATAGCTCTCGGCGAAAATTTTACGGAATCTATATTTTGAGCCTCACGGGAGCGATTTCGGAGGTTTGATGAGCGAATCGCTCATCGCTCCCGTGTATCTTTTACCCTGGGTTCAGCGATGGTGGTCGATTAAATTTACATGTTGGTGTTTTTGACAGCGAGTGTTATTGACGAGAACAACAAAGACAACGATGTCAAGTAAAATTTAGCGATAGTCGCCTAAAATTTTTGGTTCATCAACGATAATTAATTAAATATGGTTTAAATAAGTATCAATTAATTAATCGGTGGTCGTTAATAATTAGACACGACGGCAGCGATGATGGCAGCGGCGCCCCCTGGCGACCTACCTTGTGGTCCTGCACGTCGCGGTTGGCTCCCGCCCCCCGCCCCCGCCCCACGCCCCGGCGGCGCCCCCTGGCGACCTACCTTGTGGTCCTGCACGTCGCGGTTGGCTCCCGCCCCCCGCCCCCGCC